TGTCCCTGTTTGTTCCTGATTCTCTTAGTTTGGGTCATCTCTTAAGTAGTTGGGCAAGGGTCTATCAATCTTGTTTGTTTATCTTTCCGAAGAGCCAGCTCTTAGATCTATTGATTTTTCTTGTATTATTTTCTTTGTTTCTATTTTATTAGTTTCTGCTTTGACAATTTTACTATTGCTTGCTGTCTATTGGATTTGAGTTTGGTTTGTTCTCGTTTTTTCCAAATTCTTGAATTGTAGCATTAAGTGATGAATTTGTGCTCTATTTGCTTGTTTATATGTAGGCACTCAATGCTGCAAACTTTCCTCTTGGGACTCTTTTTAATGTGTGTTGAAGGTCTGTTGTGGTGTGTTTTTGTGGTGTGTTTTCATTTTTATTTAGTTCCAGAAGTATTTTGATTTCTTTCTTGATTTCTTTAACTCATCCATAGTTCATTAATGAGTTGTTTGATATCTATAACTTTACAAACTTACTACCTTTTTTTGTTTTGTTTTTGCTGTCCATTTTGTTATATTGCATAATGGTTGGATAGGATATGTGGGGCTTATTCAAATTTTTCTGTATTTGTTGAAGTTTTCTTTGTGTCTATTTTAGAGAGGTTTCTGTGTGCTGCTAAGTAAATGTATATTCCTAGTGTTTGGATAGAATATTCTGTAGATATCTGTCAGGTCCATTTGATGGAGGATATCCTTTAATTGTGAGGTTTCTGTTTATTTTTTGTTCATGTGACCTATTAGAGAAGGTAGAGTGTTTTAAGCAGCTATTATTGAGTTTGTGCTTGTGTCTTTAATTCCACAGGTATGCTTTTTAATAAAGTGCGGTGCACCCAAATTTCATGCATATATATTTAGTACTGTAACATTTGCTGATTGATTCCTGGATTAGTATGAAATATCCTTGTCTCTTTTTAGTTTTAGTTTGAGGTCTACTTCATTGGGTGTGAGAATGATAACCCCTGCTTGCTTCCTGATCTCACTTACTGAGAATACTTTCATTCTTTCTGTTTAAGATGGTACCAATCTTTAAAACTAATGTGGGGTTTCTGTAGACAACAGATAACAGACAACAGGGTTTTGTTTCTTAATAAATTCAGCAAGGCTGTTCCTTTTGATTGGAGAGTTAGGACCATTCATCTTTAAAGTTATTACTGAAAGGTGGGTGTGTCAATTATAGTCTTTTTCTGGCTTGAGTTCTTAGTCATTCTTTGTGTTTGATTAACTATAGCTTCACTTGTTTTTTTTTCTAGCGTCTCTAGGCTGTGCTTGTTCCTCTCTCTAAAGTACTGCTTCTAGTATTCTGTTTAACAGGTTTTGTTCAATATAATTTTTTAGGCTGTTTTATATCAAGGAAAGTTTTTCTTTCTCTTTTAATTATAGCAGACACTTCTCTGAAGTGCTGGGGATCAAACTAAAGGGTTGAAACATGCTAGATAAGCCATCCTCTGAGTAGAATCTAAAATTCCTGATTGACTATGATCTTACTTTTTTGTAGGCCAATATTTTTTCCTAAAACATATCTCTCCTTAACTAGTGTTTTATTCTGTGATGGTATTACTTGTGCGAGTTTGTTTTTGTTTTGTGATTCTCCTATAAAGACACTTGGTTTCAATTACCATGTGAACTGGCTAGTTTTATGTCAACTTGACAGAAGCTAGAGTCATCAGAGAGGAGGGAACCTCAGTTGAGAAAATGTCTTCATAAAATAGGGCCATATGCAAGCCTGTAGGGCATTTTCTTAGTTAATGATTGACGTGGAGGAGGGTCTAGTCATTGTGTGTGGGGTCACCCTGGACTAGTGGTTCAGCGTTTTAAGAGAAAGCAGGCTGAGCAAGCCATAAGAGCAAGCCAGTAAGCAGCACCCCTTTATGGCCTCTGCATCAGCTTCTGCCTCTAGGTTCCTGCCCTGTTTCAGTTCCTGCCCTCACTGATTTTTGTGAGGAACTGTTACACAGAACTGTGAGTGATAAACCTCTTCCTCCCCAGTTGCTTTTGGTCATGGTGTTTCATCACAGAAATAGGAACCCTAACTAATTTACCAAGTTATAAATCTGCAGATAATTTTATTATTCAAATATTATTCTTGTAGACATTAAAGAGTAGGAAATAAAGCATACAAATTACATCCTCATTAATTTTTCATTTGGAGTAAAAAAAATTAAGATAAGGGCTGGGAATGTGGTGCCCTTGTTAAGGGTACTTGCCTAGCATGCATGAAACCCTGGGTTTTATCCCTAGAACTTCAGACACTGGGCATGGTTGTGTGTACCTGTAATCTCAGCACTCAGCAGGTGGATACAGAAGTTGGGTCATCCTCAGCTACAGGGTGAGTTTGAGGTCAACCTAGGCAAAAGGAGACCCTGTCTAAGCTATACCCAATGATGTGTTTATAAAAAGATAAAGAGATAAAGTGTATGTTCTGTGGGTGTGTGTGGAGAGGTATGGGGGAAGTGGATGTCTCAGCAGGCCCATGCAGAGGCATTCTTTCCCCCTGAAGGACCAGCCACAGAGGGTAGTAGAGGTAGAGAAAGGCAGAGAAAGGCAGAGAGAGGGAGAGAGTAGAGAAGTAGAGGCCTGCAATGAGCACATGGCAGAGGGGGAAGAGAAGAGAGAGGGGGAAGGGAAGGGAGAAGGGGTGAGGGGACAGAGGGATCAAGAGAGCAAGAGAGCAAGAGAGAGAAGAGGGGGCAAGCAGTCCCTTTTATAGCAGGACAGGCCTACGTGGCTATTGCCAGGTAACTGTGGGAGTTGAGTTTAGACAGAATGCTACCACCCACCCCAAACACACACACACACACACACACACACACACACACACACACACACCTAACAAAAAAGAAGGTAAACTAAACAAGTAACTGTTGTTCACTGACAGAGTGATACATTCTTTCAAGTAAACCAGGTAGTTTGGGGGTGTGTGTGGAAAAGTGGCTGTCATTTTCAACAGCGTGGCAATGGAACACTTTCACTGATGAAGCCTGGCAGGTGAGAGTGTATGAGATTTGTAGTGTGGTGGGAAGTGCTTTAGGAAGGGCCTCTGGATGTCTGCTAGTTTGTCCTTGACCCAGGTTCCCCTAACCTTCCAGATAGGGTTTCTCTTTGTAGCTCTGGCTGTCCTAGAACTCGATCTGTAGACCAAGGCTGGCCTCAACTCAGAGATCCACCTGCCTCTACCTCCTGAGTTCTAGGACCAAAGGTGTCCACCACACTGCTCAGCTCACCATGGATCCTTTGTTCTAGTTTTCCATCCATTAAACCCCACAGCTTTAAGGTCTTGGTAGCAGTTCTGATTTGTTTTGTCCCACCTGTGTTGGAATGCAGTAAAATAGCAGTGGGATGAGAATACATGAACAGCATCACATGTAAGCCAAGGGCTTCCCAAGACAGTGACTGTACTTGAAAGGGTGTATGTGTGGGTGTGTGTTCCCCCACAATATGCCCTGGGTGACTCATTCACATATAGAATTCCTTTAGTGTGCCCAAACCCTCAGATGCTCAAGTCCTAACTATAAATTGGTGTAATATTTGACTCTAACCCACATGGCCTGTATGCCTCCTACTAGCTCCCCCCACCCCCTTCTCTTTTTAATATGAGTCTCACTATTTGCTCAGGCTGACCACAAACTCCGCAGCTTAAATGATCCTCCTGCCTCAACCTGAGTAGCTCTCAAATAGCCATATACACAGACATGCCAACACTCTCTCCTCTTCTCTGTGCCATAACTCCTCTCTGGGTGATACTCAAATGCCAATAGGATAGCATGCTAAGCCTTATCTAAGATTGGGTAAGACCATCACTGCTTTAAGGCCAGGGTGGTACCAATTGGAAAAGCCTCAACTGCAATTGCTTCTCGGAACCATGACATCAAAATGCCTGTCGGCAATTTTTCTCAGCTGTCTTGTGTGCTAGCTGCTGTTACTACAGTGCATTTGATGAACTCTTTACTTTTGCCTTTTCTGTCTGGGTGAATAATTTCACTGTTCCACATCATGGGTACCTGTCTGCCAGAGTTTGACACCTAGTTGTTATCCTGTTTAAGGAATAATGGGGGGGAGGTGTCTACTTACTCTGTAGACACGATTTGTAGGGAGGAAGATCAATATTTTCTCTTCTGAGTTGGTTTACTGCACATCTGTGTAACCCGCAGATAGGAGGGCTGAATGCTCTATACTGTCCCTACTTAATAGTAGCTAGTGTGTGTAACATGGCTAGTACAATTTGAATTTCTATAGCAAACCTGTAAAACACAATATTTCAAAGCCAATGCAAAAATATGACATGCTATTTTGTCTTTATTGGACTGCTTGTTAAAATTAATTTTATTGTTCTTGTTGCAAAAAGTTGTATAAAATGTAGCCACTAAAAAAATTCGTCTGCCGGCTGGCATTCTAGTTCAATAGGATAGCGCTGAATAAGATCCTAGAGAAGGAAACCCACTCTGTGCTCTTGCCGTACTCAATCCCCAGCTGTGGCTCTACTATACCCAACCCAGTAGCCAAGATGGCAGTCTCTGCAGAAACGCCCACACAAGGAACTCCACTGACCAACAGAACATGGAAATCCTCCTCGCAGGGAACGCGCAGACGCAGGCCCTGCCCTGCCCCACCCCGTCCGTCGCCCCGCCTCTTTGCGGCAGAGCTCAGGCCGGTGCAAACCGGTTCAGCGGCCTGACGGACACTCAGTTTTACCCAATCCTCAGCACGCCCCGCCTTCCAAGAGGAGACTCGAAACGTCACATCATTGGCAACACCGGAGGCGGCTCGAAAGCAAACCGGACCAGCCCTCCAGGCTATAATAGGTGCAGACCGTGCCTCAGACAGGCAAACAACCAATGGCGTGGCGCAGGGGCGGGATCCGTTGGCCCAACCCGCTTGACTTCGGCTTTTCTCGGGAGCTAGCGGGAGAGAGGAGGGCTGATAGGCGGGGCCTAGAGTGGCGGAGCCTGCGCATTAAGGCCGTCAGCCTGGGTGACGTTATCCTTTCCCGAGGACAGCCCCGCCCCGCCCCACCCCGCCCCGCCCTCCTCGAAGTCGGAGGGTTCTGTGTGAACGCTCCGTGCTGCTGTCGCCTGCCCGGGTTCTCAACGCGGTCTTTGTCCCTCCAGCTTTGTTCTCGCCGCGCTGGCGTCGTCCTCGCCCCCGTCGCCGCCTGCCCCGCGCGCCCGGGCCTTGCCCGCCATGGTGGCCAGGCCCGAGCCCGAGGTCGAGGCCATGGACGCTGAGCTGGCGGTGCCGCCGCCGGGCTGCTCGCACCTGGGCAGCTTCAAGGTGGACAATTGGAAGCAAAACCTGCGGGCCATCTACCAATGCTTCGTGTGGAGCGGCACTGCCGAGGCTCGCAAGCGCAAGGTGCGCCCGAGGCCTGCGCCGCTCTCCAGGCTAGGATGCGGGGAGTGTAGGTGGGAGTGGGAGAGGAGAAGCCTGGTAGTGTGGGGAGGGAGCTAGAGGGAACCTGGCCTTGCGGGGAGGGCGTGAGGGGAAGCCTCGCCGTGCAGGGAAGGGGCAGAGAAAGTAGCAAGGCGAAGCCTCTCGGTGGAGGGAAGAGGCTAAAGGAAGCATCCTGGTTAGGGGAAGGGGGACATGGAAAAGCCTCGTGGTGTAGGGAGGTGTCTAGAGGAAGCATAGTGGTGCAGGGGGATTAGGAAGAGCTTCGCGGTGCAGGAAGGGGGCTAGAGGAAGCATCGTGGTGCAGGGAGGGGGCTAGAGGAAGCATCACGGTGCTGGGAGGGGGCAAGGGACTGCCTAGTTGGCGCTGTTGGGAGTGTGGCGACGGAAGCCTTGAAGGGAGGGGGAGGGGAAGGGGGAATCTGAGTTAAAATGAGTCGGAGGAGGAGGAAGATCTGTCTAGGCGTTCCTTTGCGGAGTAGTCCTTGTCTGTAAAGGTCGCGGCGGAGGGTCGGGGTCTGCTGGGTAGTTCTGTGGTTAGCAGCCAGTTCCTGGGGCTGAGACCCGCCGCGGACACCTGAGGCTGGCAGGGCCTCTGCGCACTCGAGTTGGGAAGCGAGATTTTTAGTATGTAGGAGGTGATTGACAGCCGCAGCCATCGAGGTAGTGGGGCTATTTTGTTGTTTGCTGTAAATCTCAACTATGAATATTTTACTAGTGATTTGGAGATCAGAAAACGTTATTCTTTAATCTTAAAAAGCTTCATTAGTACAATTTGATTTTGAAGGTGAAAGCTGAAATAGGAAATTTTGTTTGTTTCTATCATAAGTAGCGTTTTATAACGGGAGAACTGACAAATCCGCTGGGTATATAATGTTAAGCATCAAATTCTCTTTAGTTTTTCGAGACAGGGTTTCTAGACCAGGGTGGGCTCTAACTCACAGAGATCCGCCTGCCTCAGCTTCCTGAATGCTGGGATTAAAGGTGAATGCAAACACACTCTAAATTCCCCCTTTTTAATCAATTGTGGCCACAATATATATCTTTTAGGGCGTTAAAGGCTAATGTTCTATAACAGATAGTCTGTTAGGATTGGAGCAAGATTTTTGGTAATCGAAGCATATGATTAAAAGAAATACTAGAGTTGGGTTACTTTGTATTTTGAGACAGAAGTCTTTCTATGTGGTCCAGGCTGACCTTAAACACCCAATCTTCCTGTCTCAGCCATGTGTGGACTGGAATTACAGAAGTGAACAAACCATCACTCCTGGCACAGAAATACCAGATTGGCACCAATGTTCCACAGGTCATAATTTTGTCACTGGTCTATTCTGTTGCTTCTTGGATTGAGATGTGCTATAAAGTCATTTTTACATGGGATTAAATGGAGGAATCTTCCCCTTTCTCTTTCCATGTTTTGCTTTCTCCATCACCCTAGACTGAGTTTTATATAGCATCACACAAGGAAATGAAAAGTTTCTTTTTTAATTAGGGCTGCTCAGCTCAATATTTAAATTTCCACCGTGCTAGACATTTATTAAGTGACCTTCACAGCCGAGAGAGCAGACACCGGTACAGCACTCAGAAGTTGTATTGTTTGGGTGGACTGCAGTAGAATAGGAAATGGATGCAGGTAGCCGGGCTCTGAAGGTGCCCAGGCTTCAGCTTGTGAACAGAACACTCCTCAAGTTCCCTCCAACTCAGAATGTCTTCATTTCACAAGTCAGTGGTTCTTTTTGAAAAAAAGTTTGGCCGTGCATGATGGTGAAAAAAAAAAAATACAAGTAGCCAGGAAAGGTATTCATCTTCAGCCATCAGAGCAAGGCTGGTTAAAACTGCACTGAAATTCCATTTCACCCCAGGCAAAATAGGTACCCCAAGAAAGATGGTAGCAAATGCGTGGGGGAGAGGGGACCGTATACACACTGCTGGTGGGGGTGCAAGCTGCTGCAGCCTTCTGTGAACCAGTGGAGAGTTCTCAAAGAGCTAGGGGTGGACTACCTGGTCACCAAGCTACCACATCCTAAGTATAGTATAGACCTGGAGGACTCTAAAGAAGCACAGTGATGCAGAAGGGGACTGGGGGAAGGGGATCCAAGAAGTCAGGGAAGGAGAGGGATAGTATGAGAGGTGAATTGAACAAGGTTCAGTAAATATGTATTAAGATGTCATAATGAAACTGCTATATGACAACTTAAAAAAGTGAAGTAACGCTGTAGGTGTCTGTCAGGGTTTTTTGCAGCATGTGGGGTGTGACTTAGGAGACCCAGCGCCTTCATGTGGATGTGGTGGCAAAAGCTCCCTGCATGGCCCGTTCCAGGTTATCTTCCAGTTTGTTCCACCAGCTCAGGAGCCACATTCCTCCAATTGCCCACAGCAACCACTGTGGGTGGGAAGCAGCTTAGCTGCTGCTGGCTCTACAGGCTGGCTGCGCTGCTCCACAGGACCCCGTCAGCACCCTGGGCACCCATTGTGCCTCTCACTGGCTGCTTCATGATGACGCCTAAATGGGGTTTAAAACCTGAGCCTGGAGGATGACTGGGAATTCATCTTCAAACTTAGCAGTATTGGTAGATGGAAACTGGAGTTAATAGCGGCCATGACCTCTGCCACTGTCCTCGGGCTGCTGTGAAACTCCCAGGCCCCAAGTGCAGAGCTGGCGTGAGATATCGGGAGGCTTCCCTGCCGGGACTCTAGAAAGAATCCATCCTGTGCACCCTCTTCCAAGACCCTGGCCACAGCCTTCAGTCTCTGCCTCATCATTCACGTGGGTTTAGCTTCTAGTCCCATCACCATCTCTTAGGAGGGGAGGCTACTTGTGCCAGCCTTTAGCTAACCCCAGACTGTCTGGGTTAAACATGCCTGTGCTTAAATATTATGCACTTCAATTTTGAAGGTGTTTAATGAGCTACCCCAGGGCTTTGAGGGTTTTTTTCAGTGCTATGAAGTAAACTATTGTCTAAATTGCACCCTTCACTTGTGGGATAAATGAGCCCAGAAGATGCACTGCACATAAGCTCTATAGCTAGGTAAGCACCTGCTTCAGGATCTTGAACTGACTCTATATGCCAGTAAGTAAAGGTTAAACTTAGGGTTGTGCTAGACATACTTCAGTAGTCCAGTAGCCGCATGTGTCTAACAAACAATATAAAAGGTGTAAGGGGAGGGTTATTATTAATAACTATTTGAGTTTTTTTAAGACAGTGTTTCCCTATGCTGGCCTCAAACTCAGCAGTCCTCCTGCCTCAACTTTCAGAGTGCTGAGACTACAGGTGTGTGCCATTGTGTTTTGCTAAAGTCAAGGTTTTATCTCTGTCAGAGACCACTTCTGTTTTCTATGGTCATTGCAAATTACAGTGTGTTGACTAGCTGATGATGTTGAGAAGGGAAGCTGTCCTGGCTTTTTTTTGTTTTTTTTTTCCTATCCATTAGCCCAAAAAGATGTGTCTTCCATGCAAGTAGCAAACCTCCAGTTCTGGCTTAGTCTCGCATGCAGATTGTGCAGTAGAGCGCCACCAACTGGTGAGAGGCAGGCAGGCCGTCCATGAGGACTTTCTTGCTCTCAAACTAGCATAGAGACTCTGCTTATTTTGTGTGTTGGAATCATACCCCTTAGAAGATACAGGTTATTTCAGTTTTGAACTGTTTGCTCTTTTTTGAGCCCTCCATCCCCGCCCTGTGCTCATCCAGTCTGAGATGGTGATCCTTTAAGTTATTGCAGGATTTCACCTGTTTACCTAATTAGGTCCTCTTTGTGTTTGTTTTGTATTCTGCTTTTTAAACCATGTGCTAGAAGATGTATACATCTTGATGATTTAATAGAGTCGACAAAAAGGGCCAGTGTGGCTCAGAGGTGCTTGCCACTGAACCTGGTGGCCTGAATTTGATCCCAGGACAACAGCACCACTGCAGAGGAGAGCAACCTGTCTCTTCCTGCCAGTCCTTACTCCCATCTTCAAGGGTATCTGCTAAGGCTTTCATGGTGTTTGGTTTGCTGCTACCTCTATTTTATGTAGTGGGAGCATGTGGCGTGTGCTTACTATGTAGCTTCTTTCTCAGTGTTGTGTCTGTTGAGATTCATTCTCGAAGCAGATTATAGCCGTTTCCTGCATAATACTCTGATGAAGTCTAGGAGTTTTACAGCTTATAAATTCAGTTTAATACTTCCTTTTATTAAAAAAAAGAAACCTACAATAAGTAATGTCAGAAAACAATTGTCATGCGTTTATATAATTTTCATTGGTTCATTTAACAGTTCTTTATTTTACATGTATGAATATCTGCCTGATGTATGTCTGTGTATCATTGTGGGCTTCTACAGAGGCAAGAAGAGGGCATCAGATTCCCTGGAGCTGGAGTTGCAGGAAGTTGTGAGTTGCCATATTGTTGTTGGGGATTGAACTCAGGTCCTCTTTGAGAACAGCCAGTACTGAGAACAGCCAGTACTTTTTTTTTTTTTAACTGTCATGCCATTTCTAGGTCCATTTTTACAATTTTCTTCCCCATGTTAGGAATTGGTAGGTGACATCTTGGTAATTATTGCCATTGAACTCCATAAGAATGAGGACATAGTCTGTGGCTATAATAATGAACACTGTCCAGGAATAATGAAGGAATATGGCTATCTCATACATAGTCCATACTCAAATACTGACATGTATTGTTTTCAGATACTAAACTCCTTGAGCTAACCTATAGTGAGAAATGGCTGGGACCAGATGTTTAGTAGTTAGACCTGCTGGGCACTCTGGATCCAAACCTAATCACAGTTTTAGGGAAAAACACACACACACACACACACACACACACACACTCTAAACAAAAACAGAAACTCAGTAGTCCAAGTACATCAGATAGAGCAGAATGCTACCTTTCATGACTGAAGGAACATCAGACTGTGAGTTGGAGTATTCAATGCTGTGCAGTTTGTGCTGACCTCCACCAGATTTTGGCACATTGCATCTGCTCCTTGTCCTCTCCAGCCACAGGCTGTACGGGGTTACTTGCCCTGCTTGTTCTGTGTGTCCTGTAGCCTGTGCTCCATGTCCTTGCCCATATCAGCATAACTTTGTTACACAGTGCTGGCATTGTTTATCTGTTCATTGACTTGGTGTAGGTACTTGGTGTATTTTGCAGTTTCTGAGTATCATTGTTATTTTGCCTGGTGATGTAGCGTCCACATGTGATTCTGTTTCAGTCCGTTGTAGGCTGTGAATACTTACAGAAAGTGGGCTATAAAGACTTCGGGAAAGCTTGAATGTGTTCTTGTGTGATGGTAATTTCATATCGACTTTTGTCCTTTTGTTTTTATCAGGTGTAAGTAATTCATTCTTACTGTTGATATCTGTGTCACATTGTGCCCTGCTCGCCCAGTGAGCATCCCATAACTCTTCCTCTTTCTGTACCCGACCCACGGTACTGCAAATCGGCATATGCTTGAGTAGTGTGAATATTGAGAATTGCCTACCACTGTGTTCGTATTTATTATGATTGCCTTGCTGGGTTTCTGTGGCCTTTCTTTTCAGTGGACTTTTCTCTTTTGTTCCCATATATTGCTTTGATTCATGTCCCTCTTCTTGGGTTGTTTTATTTTGGTTTTTTTTTTTAAGAGCCTTGATTCTCAAACCTCAAAATGATACCGAGATTAAGGACGGCTGGGTATGAGCTGCTGGTTGGAGTGCAGGTGGTGCTGGCCTGAGGTGCCAGTCAGGACTGGGTATGGGAATATAATGGCATCGTAGCTGTGCTCTTGTTGATCTTAAATTCAGCCAAACTAAGTGCTTTGGGGAGACTGAGGAGAATGTGATACAGTGATAAGACTAAGAAGACAGCCCCTGCCCTTCTTCCGTTGCTTGACACGGACTCCGTGTTTCCCCTGGGAGCCCCTGTTATTCCTACACTGCTCATAACTTGTTATCTAAATTTCAGGCAAAGTCCTGTGTCTGCCATGTCTGCGGCATCCACCTGAACCGGCTACACTCTTGCCTCTACTGTGTCTTCTTTGGCTGTTTCACAAAGAAGCACATCCATGACCATGCCAAGTCAAAGCGGCACAACCTGGGTAAGGTGCCCTCCTCCTGCAGGGGACAGGATCAGGCATAGGCTCTGGGAGTGAGCATGCTCTCTCTCCAGAAAACCCACTGTGATGGAATGGTCCTTTTGAAACTGAACTCAAGTGGACGATACCATTTGCTTGAAGCTTTTTTAAGTGGTGTTAAATGTCAGCGAGGTGTTTTCCTGGTTTCCAGTAAATCAGGTTCATGAAAGGCTGGCTGAGCATTATATGACATCAGGTATATGCCGTGTGTGTGGGAAGGGTGGGGGGGATTAGAATTGTTTGTGTGTCCAAAGATAACCTTAAACATCTGATTATCCTTCTTCCAACCTCCCCACCCCACCAGTGCTGGCATTATAGGTATGTCCACTATGTCCAGCAGTTGCTTTGTTCTTCGAAACAGTCTTGTCGCATTACTCAGGATGGCCCCATACATAATGGGCTCCTCCTATGTCAGCCTTCAGTGTGCTGGGATTCTAGACATGTGTCGTCACACTTAGCTTGCTCTTGGTTAACATAAGCATTTATGGCCACCAGTTTCCATCTTAGTGCTTTGTCTACCCCCTCCCCAAGTCCAGAAGTTTTAGAGTGATAGGCTCACTCCTTCCTTCATTTGTTTTTTTCCCCAAGACAGAGTTCGTCTGTGTAACAGCTCTGTCCTGGAACTCTTTTGTAGACCAGGCTGGCCTTGAACTCAGATCCACCTGCCTCTGCCTCCCAAGTTTTGGGATTAAAGATGTGTACCACCATGCCTGGCAGGTTTTAATTTTCATTTCTCTTGAAATATTTTCTTATTTTCCTGAGATTTCTCCTTTGACTCGATGGGGATATTTCTGTCCCATTTACACCTTTTCCAAGGTTTTGGATTTTTTTTTTGTTTGTTTTGTTTTTCTGTTATCGTAGAGTTATTCCATTGTAATCAGAAAGCTATTGTTTCAGTGGAATCCATGTGTCGAGTCTGACAGCACCTCAGAAAGTGACACCTAGAATTATCCCTGTGGCCCAGCAATTCCAACTCTCATGAATTTTAAAGTAGCAGTTGCTACTCTTTCACTTGCCCCTGGAGAAAAAGCAATACAGTCAAGATGAAAGGAAACAGCAAATAGCTGTTGCCTCTCTTAGATTGCCAGCCATTCAGGGTGTAGCAAAGCCTTGTTCCCAGTCAGGTTGCTGGGAACGCCTGTGGACCTAAAGTAAATGCTCGGTGATGTTTAGCCCTAGTTTTGAGTTCTGAGCTTGTGCAGCTGAAGCAATTTATGGCTCAGCTGTCCTGATCCATAAATTAGTACTTTGCAAGGCTCAGATGTGTGTCTCATTCTCAATCAGCCCTCGGGGAAGCTTCTGGAGACAGCAGACACACCTCACCCACCCTGGATAAACCCTGGAAGTTGGAGCACCTGTAACTCAGGGAGAAAAAACACTCTAAGCAGGTGGTGTTCAGAGAACATGTCTCTGAGTTCAGCTGTCTGAAGGACCACCTTGCTGTGCCAGATTGAATTATGTTTGTTCCCCTTTTCTCTCTGCAGCCATCGATCTGATGTACGGAGGTATTTACTGCTTCTTGTGTCAGGACTACATCTATGACAAAGACATAGAAATCATTGCCAAAGAGGAGCAGCGCAAGGCTTGGAAGATGCAAGGTGTGTTCACCATGCTTAGAAGGTTGGGTGACCCGAAAGTGGTCAGGGAAGCTGGTTTGGGCCAGGTAGGAGAGAAAAACAAGCCCTAACTCCTGTGGCAGCCATCCAGCTTGTAGGAGTGATAACTACTGCTGAAGCATGGAGATTTGGCTGAAGTGGGTTATTGGTCCTCAGGGGAGGATGGATGGCTCTTCCACTACAATACCCCAGGCTGTCCATCCTCTGCTACACATTACAGTCCCTCCCTTTTCTTACTCAATTTCAACCTTGGCAGATTGGGATACTGTATTGTTTCTTGCTGGGCTGGTGTGAAAATTCTAAAATATTGGGCCAGGTGTCTAGCATATACAAGGCCTAGGGCTTGAATCCTAGCACTACTAAAAAGGAAGAAACAAAACCTGTTGAAATATTCCCATGCCTAAATGATTTAAGCTCTTCTTGGCAGTGGAGTTAGATACATCACGGGGACAATAACATTAGGAATTTTGTTATCTTTTTATGTCTTTCATACATAGCAAAAACAGCCTGTCTCAGCATTCACAAGATAAGTTTGTGTTCCACGTAAAGCAAAGTCCAGAAACCACACAGAAGTACCTCCTTACACAGTGTCAGTCTATAGCGGCTTGTGTTCTCATGCTGTGTTACCCAAAAAACCTGTATGTAATGGGCTAAAGGAAGCCTGCACCCAGCTGGCTCTTGGGAAATAAAATGCCAACAGCCAATGGCTGGGCAGGGTGGAAGAGGCAGAACTTTTATGATTCTTAGGTAAAAAAAAACAAAAAACAAAAAAACCCGCAGGGGTGAGGAACAAGGAATTTGGCCATGAGTGGGGCATGGGACTGACCGTGCTTTTAAGGAGAGAAGGGTGAGGTGGCTGAAGTGTAGGTACAAAGGAAAAGTGGCCCCATGGCAGGGCTGCCCAGAAGGAAGCTGGGTAACAAAATATAGACTTAAGAAGTGTTAACTCGGGAATATTGGAAGGGAGTGTGTACTAGCCAAGGAGGGAGGTTCAGGAAGTGCCCAACCATTGAACACTTAAAAACTTGGAATGCTAGATAAAAGCATATGGTAACAATTTAATTACTCCTGAAGTACAAACTATTATATGTCTTCTTGGTAAAGTTTAGAATAGTAAGATGGTCCTTTAGTTCACTACCTATATGGAAGCCACCCAGTTCCTTGAATGTTTCTGTTTGCAGAGGTTGGGATCTTCTGTTAACTTACCATAAAAAGAAATCTTACATCATAATAAATGTTACACAAAGATCTTTAGCAAATACCTTTGTGACTTTATATGCCTTCATTAATAAAATCTCATATTTAACAACTGTATAACCCCATAGTGAAGAAAAATAAATGAAAGGGGTTTTAAATTTTGCTGCATGCACATCTTCCTGTCAACATCCAGTGTTTTGTCACTCCCCACCATACATTCACAGTCAAAATCTCTAACTGAACCTGGAACACAACATTTCAACAAGACAGTCTTATCAGTGAGCCTGAGGATTGGGCTGACTCTGGCCCCACCCAGCACTGGGGTCACTAGCACATGCTATTGTGCCTGGCTTCTGCCCTGTGTGCTAGGATCCTTCTTTGGGTTGTCGTGCTTACATAGCAAGCACATTAGCCAGTAAGCCATCTTCCCTGCCAGGTGGAACGTCTTTTAATACATATGATTTGATGCATTTTAAGTTTTATCTATCTATATAATGTCCTTAACACAGGCGGTCTGTCACAGTGAGCCTGCATTTCCTTCAGGTGTGGTAGAACGTGATGAGGTAGTGAGACACAAGGAGCAAAGGAGAGCCTGCCAGTATGCATTTGTTCAGATAGGCCTCTGATTTAATGGATGAGCCCTCCATCAGCTCATTCCTTCATTCTCAGGGCATCAGCGTGGCCAGGTAGTGCCCTGTGGCTGTGGGTTCTGTGGGGCTCTGCTGAGGTCAGGAAGGAATAACTCACTTTGAGGGCACGTTGGAGAACCTGACTTAGCCCAGTGCTTCCACACCAGTGTCTCCACTCACCTCATCCAGACTGAGTACTGCAGAGATAGGTCCCTGGCCAGGGGTTTACTCTCAGCGCCACGGTACGCTGGAAAACGTAGTACAAAAGCAGCACTGTCAGTGCCTTGTAGGAGAGGCATCCTTCTCCTGGTAGTGGGTGGAGGATGGAGCAGCTACGCTTCCCTAGTGGCTTAGACTCCTGCACCCCTGCCAGGTGCTTGGTGGCTCTGGTGGCACCATAGGTTTATGTTTCTGTCTCTGTCACATATTTAGTCACAGGTACAGAAGTGTTACGAAGCTTTATTCTTTATTACTTCTAGGTTTCCCTGTTTTTTTCCTTTTCAGTTTCCAGAGATGCTCACAGTTGTCTGCACTAACAGTGCAGGGTCTGGTATGTCCCGCTTAACCAGTGAGTCTCTGTGTGCAGGAGGGGTAGACCACCACCATGCTTGGCTGCTCTTTATTGGAAACTCACTGTGTCTTAGTTTGCTCTCTTACTGGGAATAAAAACACTGAAAAACACAGCTCACACTTCCACTTCACAGTCCATCCCATAGGAAGTCAGAGCAGGAACTGAAGCAGACGTCATGGAGGAAAACTCCTCGTGACTCACTCCACTCTTTCTTATACACACCAGGACCACCTCCCCCAGGCCAATTTGATGGAAGCAGTTTTTTAGTTGAGGTCTCCTCGTCCCAGATGATCCTAGCTGTGTCAAGGTGACAAAAGTTAACCATCCTACAGCACAGTCTCCTGAGGGGTCAGGGTTTTGTGTTTAACAGGTTGTTTCTGAAGGAAAATCTGACTTGTATTTTTTTTTCCTGGCCCCTCAGAACGATACTTATCACTGTCATGTGGGGATGTATTGCTTCTTTGTGCAGGACACTTGAGTTTAACATACATGTGGCAGGATAAAACAGGATTCTTCAGTCATTCTTACTCCATCTGGCAGGGAATGCACTCTTCAGGTGTGTTCAGTTAGGGATTTTAAGTTCTGGGAGCGTGGAGCAGCCCTCTTGAGTGAGTCGTGTGGGAGGGAAGTGTGCTCCTCCTCATCAGCTTTTGGCCATCATTGTTGTGGTTCCGGTCTTCTGTGATGTGTTCAACAGGCAGATCAGAAGTGCATTTTAAGCTGTGTGTGGTGGTGCATGGTTTCACAGTCTTAGCATTTGGAAGATGGGCAGGCTAACCTTCGAGTTTGAGGCCAGCCCAGTCCAGCAAATTCCAGGTCAGCCAGGGCAACACAGTGAGGCCATAACTCAGACAACAAATAAACAACAAAGTGTGTTTTCTGTTTCTTATGTAATTCTTTGGCTCAAGCATGGGCCACACATACAGTAGACAAGTGCTCTGCTACTGAGTTGCACCCCACACGTAAAACTACATTTTCTCTGTCAGTCTCATTTCCAGGAGATCCTTCCTGAGATACTAAGTTGCTCCCATTGGAGCTGGCTGCTATTATCTCTACCCCAGGTTTCAAGGCATTTGAGAAACATTAGTGTCTGGTGGTTTAGTAGGTTGTGTTCCCTTCCTTGACTCAGTAAACATGGCATGTTTATAGACACTCACTGAGGGGAACTCCTGTTGGTGATTTGACATCTCTCAGCACAGTAGGGTGTTAGAAGAAGGATACCTTTCTGAAATGTAGCCCAATATGTGTCAAGTCGTCAAAGCTTTTATTTACCAGAGATCTTAGCTAATGATCCCTGAGACTGTTCTTCATCTCTTTAGGTGTTGGAGAGAAGTTTTCAACTTGGGAACCAACTAAGCGGGAGCTGGAACTGCTGAAGCACAACCCGAAGAGGCGGAAGATCACCTCCAATTGCACCATAGGTTGGTGAGGGGTGCGCAGGGTGCTCTGCTTTCAGTCCTGCTTAGATTTCGTTCCCCAGAGTGGCAGTAGGCCTTACCTAACTGAGTCCCTCATGGATTTCTTAAGCATCTAGCTCTTAAGCACCTGGTCTTCAGGGGCTACTGTAGATGTGGGATGCAGAGGGGTGAGTGGATATGGCCCCGTCCAGCTCCTTGGCATCTGCCTATTTGAAGGGATTCAACTGTATCAAGTCAAAGCTGCTCTTCAGGGAGAGGTGACATGCCAGTGAGTGAGGGTGTTCACTGTCTCTCCCCTTACCTCCTGGAACTCTGTAGATCAGTATGGTCTTAAAGTCTGAGGTCCACCTGCCTCCGCCTCCCAAGTGCTAGAATTAAAAGTCGTGTGTGTGTACACACACACACGCACACAAACACACCCCTACCTACCTCACCCCTCATACTGACCATGTCTTTTAAAAAGGAGGATGTATATTTTAGAGCTTGTTTGAAAACCACTTGGTTTTGTTAGAGAGGTTCTGTTTGACCTGTTTTCATAGTAAATGTGTTTGTGAAAACATAAGGACCAAGTGGAGGGGGCAGTGGTGACGAACATTCTGTGTTCCATTAAAGATTAGCGAACACAACACTTGGCTACTCTTCTCGTGCTGCTGGAATAGTTGAAGACAGTCACTGGTCGTGAAGGTGTAGCTGGGCCTGAGCTCCGTGCACAGGTGACGGTGCTCTTGACTTTCCGTCCAGGTCTGCGTGGACTGATCAACCTGGGGAACACGTGCTTCATGAACTGCATCGTGCAGGCGCTGACCCACACGCCGCTTCTGAGAGACTTCTTTCTGTCAGATAGGCACCGCTGTGAGATGCAGAGCCCCAGCTCCTGCCTGGTCTGTGAGATGTCCTCTCTCTTCCAGGAGGTGAGTGCAGCTGCTTCTGGGGTTGGACAGCTATACAATTGCCTTTAAAAAAGCGTGAAATAGAATTGATGAAAACCTTGCCTAATTATCTATGTGACTGTACTGTGGAAGACAAGGCTTTTACAAAGGGATTGTTAGAGATGGTGTTTTTAGGCAAATTGTTCACCTAGGAGAGGAGCCCTCAAAGTGGCAAATGTGGCAGAGTCCACTTATGGATGGCATTTGTCTCAAGAGTCCTGCAAGAAAAAAAAAAAAAGTCGTTCAGTCTGCTATGTAGATTCAGGAAATCTGCAGCCGTGCACCTTCCCAAGTGTGTTTTGTCAAAGGCTTCTACCCTGCAGACTGGCAGCAGGGAGACAGTGCTGAGGCTGTGTCCTTGATCTAATCATAGCTACACTTTTGCTGTGCCTATTGATGCCTCTTTAGGCTTGATCTCAGGACATACTATCTACGTAGACTCAGGCCAGGTATTAGAACTGAAATAACTTATTTTCCCATCCTAGAAACCAGAAACCAGCAGACAAGCCTCTTTTTTTTTCAGCGATCTTTTACCAGTCTGCATCCCGGTCTTTGCTCAAGTGTTGACTGGGTTGCTTTATGCCGTGGCCCAGGGTTGAGCAGGGTTACACAGTGACTTTGCAACTGAGGTGACTCAGCTGGCCCTTCCAGAACAAGGTTGCCAATTTTTGCTCTAGTCCAGCCTATTGCTGACCCCTGCGTTGCTGGTGACTGGAGCTATGGTAGCGAGCAGACAGGCAGAACTGTCAGAGGCTGCAGGGTAAGAGAAAGTGTGCTGAGAAATGAGTCCTGGACTTCACTGGGGTAAGCAGCTACTTACCATGTGATTATTTTTTAAACTCAGGCTTAGTAAAGTATAATTTGCATTCAGTAAAATATCCTAGTATATAGTTCTGTGAGTTGACAAATGTGTGACACCTCCACCTTCATACCTTTCTGAAGCCAAGACCACTGCTCCCAGAGACACGGGTTTTTGTTCCCAGAATTCCCATTCCCATGCATGTGATATGGAGGGATGTGTAGCACATTTCCCAGGTGCTGTGTGTGTGCAATAGTCCACCATCCTCGCTAGGTTTGTCTGTCTCTCCTTGGTGTGGTACATCAGCGTCCATGTGGGCTGTCTTTCTTGGCAAAGAACTTGTGTAGTGGTCATAGTGCAGTTAATGGGGGCCTGGGTCAGACACTGTGGGCTGGTTTCCAGTTCTTAACTTAACTTGGTTAAGTTGCTGTCCTTGGTTTTGAGTATGCAGTATTAAACAGTCTACTGCAACAAGTACTTCATGGTTTAGTGCTGTGTGAATCTGTTGTTCAGTTCTAGTCTCTAGCTGTTCATTGCTAGTGGAAGTTGAACGTCTTTCATTTGATAAAGAAAACCCAAAATGTTACACATTCCAAGGCCATGGTCAACAATGCAATGCCACAGAGAATTCCACACCCGCCCTGGTCAGTACACACTTCATAAATTACCTTCAGACTGTCTGTTGAGTTTCACTGGGTTTTTGTGTCTTGATACATGAAAACAGTTCATCCGCAACTTAGTTTAATACCCTGCTTTATGGGTCCTGACAGGAAGTGTAGAGGTCACCAAATCAAACCAAACCCTGAAAGCCACAGACACAGCTTCAGGGCCAGGCAGGCACTGTCTCTGGGATGTCCATCTAGGCAACACTTCCGAGATTGTGTTGTGTGACCTCAACACAGCCTTGGTTGTCACACACAATGCATTTACATTGCTCCGTGTGCCAGTGCCAGGAAGTGCTGCCTGAGACGCCTCAGTCACCTCAGATGTTGTGTGGTTTACCGTCCGTGCAGTCTCCAGCTCAGAGGAAGCACAGTGATGCCGTTTCTCAATATGTCAGTATGTCTTCATATATCTCTAGGTTGTAATGTTGATCTTTGGTTTGAAAACTGCTGTTTGAATTGCTGAACTGAGTTTCAGAGTTTGTTTTTTTAAAAGGTTTGGGATTAAAACAGAATTTCCCCCATTTCTAAAATGGCCTTAAATATACTTAATTTCATATTGTGTGTTTCCATGAAGTGGCTTCTCAGGCAGAAGAAGCCCTGGTCCAGTAGTGATGCATTCTGGTATAAATGGGCACCTGGTTGGCTCTTGGCTTACTGTGCCGTTGATCACTTTCCTTAGAAGGGATGTATGATGTTCCTTTTAAGAAGGAACTTCTAATTCTCAGTTTATAGACAGGCTTGGGGTGAAGCTCAGCAGGAGACCTACTGCTCAGTATACCTGAGTAGACCTACTGAGTATACTCAGTATACCTGAGTAGACCTGCTGAGTATACTCAGTATACCTGAGTAGACCTGCTGAGTATACTCAGTATACCTGAGTAGACCTACTGAGTATACTCAGTATGCCTGAGGCCCTGAGTTTGATTCCCTTATTGCAAAATGGCCCAGGAGTTAGCTTTGATTTTCTTAGGTTGCAAAAGGGCTTACAGGCTCAGGAGGCTTGCTCACTTGGTAGCTGTTTACATTGGTGACAGATTGATACTGACAGCCATTTACAAAGCAGGAACATCAGTTGGGTGAGGAATTGGGAATATCCCATTTCTTGAGACCCTAAGGCTTACGTGTATACATAGACCAATGATAATAAGCAACAGGATGGCCTTGAGGAAGAGATGCTGGCATAGGCGTCCTTGTCCTGAAAAATCTGAACTCCAAATATTCTGTGATCTACAACTTTCTGAGCACATGAACATTTTCAGATTGCTGGATTCAGAATGTCTTTGCAAGTATTCCAAACACAGAAACATTCAACTCTTTTCACCCAGTTATGTATGACATCTAGCCCGAATGTCACTTGATAAAACAAAAATAAATAAGTAAATGTCAGCAGCTGTGTAAGGAGTAGGCTCAAGCACACACAGCTCAGAAGGGAAAACCAGAGCTGCTCACATCAGCTGGTCTTAGGTGTCTAACCAAGCAGGGCTCTTGACTGCAGGAAGCATGACATGGAAGTGAGCCTCTAGGTCTAGTCTCTCAGCAGTAGACTCCTGCCTGGCTCCCTGAGCGTGCTGCAAGACATACATACGGCCAGCGGCAGTTTGTCCTCCCTGTGCTCCCATGCAGTCAGACACCATCCCAGGAGGGTGGGCAGGTGTTCTGTGAGGCAAACATTGTATAGAGTAAGTCACCTGAATTTGCTGTTTGCTTTGTGGGCTTATCAGTGGAAATAAAGTGGAGGAAAGTGAGTCCACGTAACAATCCAGTTTGCCAAAAGAAAAGCAAGTCCATTTGATCAAACTAGTCCTACCCAGTCTGTGCAGCTGTGATGTTTTGTGTGATGAAGACTGGCGGGTGTCCTATTGTCCCTTTCCTTCTCTCTAAACAGTTTTACTCGGGGCACCGCTCCCCACATATTCCGTACAAGCTGCTGCACCTGGTGTGGACGCATGCCCGGCACCTGGCAGGTTATGAGCAGCAGGACGCACATGAGTTCCTCATTGCAGCCCTGGACGTCCTCCACCGGCACTGCAAAGGTGGGCCTGACACCATCTCCATGCTAGGCTGGGACAGGTGGGGAGTTTCCTTAAAAATGGCACAGAGCAAGGCTGGTGCTCACCCGGGCAGCTGTAGGAGTGTGCTTGATTGTCTTGTGTAGTCAGTATAGTCAGGTTGTTTCTAGTAAGGAAAGCCACATGGTTGCTTCCAAGGAGTCCTCCATAGTGTGTTTGTTAGTATCGATTGATCTGGAATATTTTGGGAAGCAAGGTCTCACTGTGGCTCATCCTGGCCTAAAGCAGTGATCCTCCTGTCTCAGCCTCCTGAGTGCTGGGATTACAGGTAGGAATCTCTGTACAAGAGTAAAGATCCCAGCGTCAATGTGCTGGCATACACCCCTACAATCCCAGCATGCAAGAGGCAGAGGCAGGCAGATCTTCTGCCAGTTGAAGGCTAACCAGAGAGATACCTTAAGAGATACCTTACTTAATCTGTCAGGAAAAAAAAGGCAAGGAAGAATGACATTACCACCTCCTCCCTAGCCCGCGCCACCAGAGAGATCTCTCATGAAATGAATGCCTTCACTCTTCATAGAGTGTTGGTACCTCCTGTTGTCCCCCTACCTCTGCTGGGTGGATGTAGACTTGCTGGTTACTTTGTACTATCTTGGTGACATCACTAATGGTAACTACATATTTCATTCCTCAGGTGATGACAACGGGAAGAAAGCTAACAACCCTAACCACTGCAATTGCATCATTGACCAGATCTTTACGGGTGGGCTCCAGTCTGATGTTACATGCCAAGTCTGCCAGTAAGTGCTCCCACCAGCCAGACAGTCATCCTGGTGTCAGTCTGCCGGTGTACTTCCTGTCCCACTTCCCAGTCAGCATGCCTGGGCGTTGTGTGGACTTCGAGCCTAAAGCTCAGCACCACCTTAGGGAAGGCTCCCTGAGTTCTGTGGTGCTCATGATGGAACACCTACCCTAGTTTCAGGGTAGGGACAGTTTTATTTAAACAGCTGTGCTCTGGTCATTTGAGATAAAATACTTCTGGTAGAAAAGACACAAGAACTGGACAAGTTGACTGAGTCTGATGGCTCCTCTTCCCCTTGGAAGCCTGCAGAGTGTTGCTGTGGTACTCGCAGGATGTCCTCAGCAGCTTCATACACATTTCTCTGCTTTCCTTATAGCCAAGGCCAAGACCCAGAGCAGACAGCCCTGTGGTGGCAGATCATGGCTTCCGTGGTCCCCAGTGGGCTTTGGCTCCTTTTTCAATTGCTGACATAAAGTTACAGTTCTCAGGTGTGCCTGTTGCTTAGAGCATTCGTCTTCAGAAGCAGAAAGGATCTGTCAGCAGTGGCTGGAGCAGCCCCTCCACCCTGCACGCCATTGTTTGTATCCACTCCTGGGTTTTAAAACTCTGGCCACAGTCCCTCAGTACCACCTGCTGTCTGGACAGGGTTCAGGGCCAGGGTACAGGAATCTCAGGGTGCTTCTGAGGCTTTCAGCAGTGCTCCTCTGAGGCCTTATATTTGAGTAATATAGAATCCTTCCCTCTCTGGCCTTGTATGTTAGCAAGAGGTGGTCTTCAGTTTCCATCCTTATTTAGTCAATTTCTTATTCTGAGTTTCCTCTTTTAAATATTGTAACTTAAGCCTCCTGGCAGGAGTCAACCTTGTTAAATGCAGCAAACTTGTTTTTGGGAGGGGGTGGGGGTTTGCCATGTTTGGCCTGTACATACTTGTGCATGGAGGTCTCTCGTCTTGCCCATTCAGGGCACCTAGTTTCTGGGCAGTGTTTGTGCAGTTCCTGTTGTAAGGTGGATCCTAGAACAGAGTGCTGATTATAGCTCAGGACTTTATACTTTGTCAGACTCCTCAAACAAAGTCGTGACTGTACACTCCTGTTTTATCCTGAGGTACCTTGTGGGCAGATGGCCTGCCTCAGAGACCATATGTTCTTATGTGTTTTCCTCTTTCCCTGCAGCGGGGTCTCCACCACCATAGACCCCTTCTGGGACATCAGTTTAGACCTGCCTGGTTCTTCCACCCCGTTCTGGCCTTTAAGCCCAGGGAGCGAGGGCAGTGTGGTTAATGGGGAGAGCCACGCATCCGGCACCACCACTCTCACAGACTGCCTGCGACGGTGAGGCACATCCTGCAGGGTTGGTTCAGAGCACCATCTCTTCCTTCCATTTTACTACATGATTTGATCTTTAAAATTATTGGGGGGAAAAAAAGAAAAAAATGACAAAGAAAATTAGCACATCATTGTAGATTTCCTGCAGCTATAAGGTGACATGACGATCCTGATACCTTCACCCAGTCCTCCACCATGACACCCCACGGCACAGGTGGGGGGACAGGTATGTATGTCACAGCAGTTGCTGAGGCTGGTGTAGGGAGGAGCGTCACAGTTCTTCCCAGCCTTCCTTGCATCCACAACCCCCATCTGCTCCTCACCTAAGCAGTTCAATTCTAGCTTCCTCTAGATTTCTCAGGGAGGTTTGTGAGTGGACTCTCACTGTGGGATAGTCTCTTTCCACTTCTTGATCTCTGGCAGCCCAGAGAACTGTGTATGGGCATAGATTCCATTCCATTGCTGACTAGTGGACCTTGGGTGATGCACCATTTGTTTATTGAGCCATTTGTGTGTAGCATTGTGTGGCTGTTTGCTCCGTTCTAAGACAGGTTGTGTTGCTGGAAGTTAAAGAAAATTATCACCATTTCCCCAGACCTTTCATTAGTACTATTATATATGTGTACACACACACACACACTCACAGAGAGAGTTCATTAGTACTATTATATATGTGTACACACACACACACACTCACAGAGAGAGTTCATTAGTACTATTATATATGTGTATACACACACACACACTCACAGAGAGAGTTCATTAGTACTATTATATATGTGTATACACACACACATACACTCACAGAGAGAGAGAGAGACAAGCTTAAGAGAATCAGGAGAAGATGAAGACAA